TTGTAAACCACTCAGCTTTTAAATCCGTTGCCTACCTGGATCCTTAGCCTTAGGTTGTATGCTCTCATAATTTGTTCCTGTCGTTCTCTGCAGTGACCTTCAGGTCATAAGGTCTGGCCCTAGTCTACATTGCTTAGCTGTGTTTCAGTACCTCTAATAATAGCATTTAGCTCCATGGGAAGTGCTCAGCTACAGTTTTGATTCAGTGGATGCAATAAACTATCAGAATAATGGTGCTAAAGTGCATTTTTTTCTCATCACCTTTGCTAATTGTATGACTGTTGTATTTTTTCCTTTTCACTTCTCACCTAACAAAGTCATCCGGTCAGTTTTGTTTGTTTCATTACCCCAAAGTAATACAACTAACTGGAAATTTGATCTTCCCGTATGGGAAGAACAGAACCAGAGGTGCCGCCCTCTGTGAGCTGTAAATGGTAACATGATAACTCTTCTGGACCATATCTGCAGGGATGTCTTCCCTTTGCCATCTGTAAAGTGTGACTCCCCAGAGGGCTATGCTTTCTAGGCACCCAGTTCTCTAAGCACATCTTTCAGTTTCTCGTCTGGAAACAATTTGTAGTCTAGAAAAATCTGCGACTTTTTGTCCTCTCTTTATTTCTGCAATTATAGTCTGTCACTAACATTAATCATTTTCTTGTTTTAAAACCTGAGTGGACCCAGTTTGTCAGCACTCATTAAGAATCAAAATAGACATTCATCTGTACTCTCTGATCCGGTAGGTTACTTGTAGGGCCTTTCCCTGATCTTGAGGAATATTCATAAATGTGCACCAACCAAAAAGAGATGGTAGGAAAACACATTCAAGCACAAATATTTTAATGGAAAATGAAAATTTAGAAGCCAGGCACAGGGGCTCACACCTATAATCCCATTACTTTGAGATGCTGAGGCAGGATGCTCACCTGAGCCCCCGGGAGGTTGAGACTGGCCTAGGCAACATCTTTACAAGTAATTTTTTAAAAAGATTAGCTGGGCACAGTGGCAGAGGCAGCAGGTTCACCACCTCCGCCCTGGGTTCAAGGCTGTGGTGAGCCGTGACAATGCCACTGCATTTGAGCTTGGCCAGAGAGTAGACTGTCTCAAACTTTGAATCATCTGAATGTTGAACAAAACAAGAATTTATATATTTATTACGGGATAATAAGTTGAAACTGTACATTTGGACTAAATTAGGTTTGTAAGATAAAGTAATTTCGATTATACATTTTTGGATCATGCAAAGGGTTTCCACATCTCTTAAAAAATATGCTGTAGATAGGAGATTTAAGAAGATAATCTTATTTCTTTTTTTGTGTCCATAACTCTTTCACTATTTTTTTCAGTCATTTAAAATTTGAAATAATCGAATCAAGGATCACAGTTGGGCCCTAGCTTCAAGAATGGAATCAGAAAAGAATATGCTGTCTTGATTGAGGGTGATATTTAAAGTAGTAACGAATGTGTAGAAGAACTAGGAGAGGATTAAATATTTGGAGCAGTGGTTGTCCAGTCAGTGTATGCTGAACCCGGCTTTGTGATGCTGAAAATGCTGTACGTACTCAGTTCACTGAATGAGTCATAGCTGGATTGCCTCAGTAGTCCTGTGTTTTTTTAAATAACGTTATGCAGTAAAATGATGTTTCATGGTGAACATTCACAATATTAAGAGAACTTTATAGCCACTAATTGGCTAAATAGTAAGACCAATTTTTTATTTGCTTTTGGCTACTTTAATATAGCTGTGGTTTGAATTAAGTAGTTGATTGCCTGTAAGTGATTGGAATTTTAAATAAAAGCTTTTCTGAGTATCTAAGAAATTTCTGAGAGGATGAATGTTACAAAGATCTAATTCTGGGGAGGATCTCAGTTACTATTTAAGAATGAGTAAATATGATCAGGTAGAATATACAATTAATGCTTCGTGAATTTAGGAAGTGTTAGTTTATTTTGAATATCCTGTTTATTTAATAACCCATAAGTTCTTTGAGGGAAGGACTTCATTTATACATAATATACTCTTCATCAGGCCTGGTGTCTGGGTGGTAGAGTGTAAAGCTTGGAAGATTGGATGAGTGTCAGTGCTGTCTTGTGGCCTAGTTTAAAGACAGTTGTTCTAAAAGATACCATAATGGATGAAATACAGTGCTAAGTCTTCTTGTGTGCTCTTTGGGATCTGATTCCTAGTATCTAGTATCTAGTGCTCATGCGGGACAGGTGAAGACTGCGTCACATCTAGAGCATTCATTTGGCTATATAAATAAACTACAGTGGACACGTCCTGCAAAGCCTTACTTAATTACACTGATGAAGTAGTAGCCTTTTCTCTAATTTCACTCTTTGGCATATAGGCTTTTAAGTTGTTTTAGAAGTAGGCCTTTTAAGGTCTTCTTCCTTTAAAAAACTTTTTAATTGCTGGAAACTGATGTAGCACCAGGATAAATTAAATAATCAGTTCATAGCAGTTTGGACAGATAACTTTTCTGCTTTTTCAGTATTTTTTATTATGACCTGAAAATATTCCAGCAATATATATTTACTGAAGGAATTTTTATATGCAAGAATTTATATCATTTTGATTTTTTTTTTTTTTTTTTGCCCTGGAATGCAGTAGATGATGCTGAAATATCACTGATTACTAGTTTCAGCTGGGACATTGATGGCCTTTCCTAATCAGAACTAGCATTATGAAAACCTTACAGGTTATATACCTTTATCCAAGTTTTGGACTGAATAATATTGTGGGGAAGAGAATACTTACTCTATTTTCTTTGTCTCACTTGGATTCCACCTAGCCCATCTCATTTTGGAAAATCCTAAAAATAAAATAGTTGCTAATTTTTCCCCCTGACAAACATATCCCCATGATTGGTCAAATTATGATTTAGTTTCTTATAATTTCATCATGGATGGGGTTGGATGGTTTTTTTTTTTTTTTTTTTAAAGTCGCTGAATTCAGCACCGCTTCAGAACTGGCTGAGTGCCTACTATGTGTGCCGAGCACAGTACCACACATTACTGGTAGTTAGGCCAGAGCTGAGCAGGCTGTCCTCCAGAGCATTTGCCATCTAGTGTACTATAGCACATCTAGACCAGTGCCCTGGGCCAGTACCGTCAAAAGAGTATTTGGCTTATCATTAAGCATGGAATAAACATTCAGGCTACATAAAATTAATTGTACTCTTCAAATTAACTTTGAGGGGGGAGGATACCTTTTTCTTTACATGAAGATATTATAGTTGTCACTCTTCCTGTGTGGTTTCCCATCTCAGTAATGGGCAGTACCAACTGTTCAGTTGTCCAGAGAGGAACCTTGCATTCTTTCTTAAATATTTTTGGAATCCTGGTGTTCCTCTCTGACAATACTTAGTCTTTTCCTGGGTTACTGCAGTATCTTGCCTAATTTGGCTCCCTAACTCCCCCTGCTCCAATCTAGTTTCCTTATAGTCTGTATTTCTGCCTGTTTTTTCTGAAACTGTTTAATGGATTTGTTTTCTCTTAGTGCTGCTTTGAAGGTCCTCCTGAATATGGTTTCTGCCTCCGTTTCAAGCTTTACTCCTCTCTGCCCTTATCCAGCCCTTCCACACCTGTTGCAGCTCACTGGGATGCTTCTGTTGACTCCTCCCTCCTCCAGCACACCCTTGTTCTCACACCCCTCCTTGAGTCTGAATAGGACACTTTGAGTGTATTCCTAGACTGCTAACTTTAGTTAGGGCTTCTTCCTCGTGTGTCCACTGGGAAATTGCCCTTGCCTCCCTATTTGTCTTTCTCCGTTTATGAGATACAAGCTTAATGGGCGGTGCTTAGTCACCACTTTCTCCACAATTTAGGGCAGTAGCAGTTTTGTCACATAGTAGCCTACTCAAATGCTTGTTAATTTGTGATTTTAGAAGAGAAATCTGTTAACTCCATCATAAATCCATGATGTGTCGCAGGACAGCCAGCATACTTCCACATGTTAGATACTTCTTTATACTGAATAGATGTGAATATATCATTTTTAAAGAGGAATCAGCAAATGACACTCTGTGGACCAAATCTAGCTCACTCTCCTTTTATAAAGATCACAAGCAGAGAAAGGTCTTCACATAACTGCTTAGGGAAAAAAAAAATCAAAAGAAGAATAATACTTTATGATACAATGGTATTATGAAATCCAAATTTCAGTGTGCATAAGTTGAGTTTGATTGGAACACAGCCATATTCATTTGTTTACATATTGTGTGGTGTTGCTTTTGCACCGTAAGGCACAGTTGAGTAGTTGTAACAGGCTGTATAGCTGGTAAAGCCTGAAATAGTCATTGTGTGGCTCTTTATATAAAAGTTTCCTGACCTCTCCTTTAAATCATTTCTGTGATATGAGAACAAATAAGTATAATGAGATACACTTAAGTCCTGTCTCAGTGGAAAAGAAAACCACTTTGTATTCAAGGTTTAAGTATGTTCAGTATCATTTGAGTTTTGGGAACTGTAGTCTATCCTATCTCATACATACCTAGAGCTTTTTGAGACTTTTAACATTACAGATTAGATGTTGAGAAAATAGAGACTTCATATCCTGTCGAGTTTCGTAGACAAAACTGGAGTGGATAACTACTCCACCCAACAGTCTTTTCCCAAACAACTAGTATTCTTTTTTAACTAAGTCAGTCTTCTCGCAAATAACTAACATTTTTTATTTTTAAAATTTACTTCTTTTCACAATTAAGGATTAAAAAGGAGCAACTTTTAATGCTGTTTGATAAAATCATTAAAACATTATGCTAAAGCCTTCTTAAAAATTTGGTTTTATTTTTGCCAGTATGTTACTTTGAAGAAAAATAGCACAAGCCATGTTTTGGTTGTATTGTCATTTTGCTAACTATTGGAAGCAACTTTATTTGTTCAGGGTTTATTATTAGGCAATGTGGAACCTTCATTTTACGTCATTTAATAAAATCAAATGGTTTTTTACATCATTGTTTACATCTTGTTGAAAATAATTAACTTTGTTTTATTTTTAGGGTTATATCCTGTGTTGTGACCTCATGGTTTAAGTGGGAATAAAGATGAGTATAAGCAGTGATGAGGTCAACTTCTTGGTATATAGATACTTGCAAGAGTCAGGTGAGTACTTTTATAAAGTAAATAGGCCTCAAATTATTTTAATATTCTCAAAATAATCTTTTATGCATTTGAAATTTGTATCAGTCCAAACCGTTGAACTTTGTATGTTTCTTTAATGTCTGGACTGCCATTTTAAAGCTGTTTTACTGCATGGTTTAACTCTCTGACTCTTTCAAATATGTTGAAAACAAGGCAATTATTTGTAACCGTTTGGCTTTCACTGTTCAAAGACCATTTTTATAATTTGTTCTGAGGTGAGATTATTGCATATGTTTAATAGGAACATATAAACTTTCAGCCACCTTTATTTTGACAATGTATATCCAGAATCCTCGATTAAATGTTGTTGGTTCTAATTGTAGTTAGCATTTCAGAAATTAAATTAACAGTGTTTTTCTAGAATGCCTTCAGAATTATCTGAATTGATTAAGTGTATCCTTGATCTGAATTCTTATTATTGTATTGGGAGTAATTAGAAATAGAAATCACTGAAAGCCATTTGCAACTAATACTAAATCAATGAGTGATCTTCCAAGGTTTATTGGTAGATAAAACAGAGGGAATACTGTAAGGGAAAATGTGGATGGATGAAGCAAAAATTTAAAAGTAGAAGAGGGAAAGTAATTGGGTATGGGTGGAGGTGTAGGGTGATGAGAAAGACTCATTGCAATTTAAGTGCAGGTTGCCATTAAAAATTAAAGCAGTTGGTGGTTTCAGATGTCATGGTCTAGAGATTGAATTTTAGAAATTATATGTTGAAGATACTGTAATGTTCTAGTAGTAAGGAGAGGTACCCCATAAAAAAGATAATTTTGGTAGTCATGTGTGAGGGTGTATGGAAGGATAGAATAGTCTAAGCCTGTAGAATATTGAGCCCTCAGTTATGGTTTTGAGACTTGAATCATTCTTCTTGTATGGCATATTTAGCTGTCCTTTTCTACACAGAGAATACAAACATGGCTTTCGATTTGAGAGCCCTTGGCTCGCCGAGATGTTCCCAGCTGCTCTTTAGCGCTGAGCATTTTTGGGGGTAGCGGTTTTCTATTCCCAAGCACCATCTGAGGTGTAACAGCTGTGAAAGTGATGTCCAGAGGACAGGGAGGGAGGGAAAGAGATTAGTAACTAAGCCAACAGAGAATAACTTTAATGAAGCTTTAAAATTAATAGCTCTTGTTTTATTTTCTTTGTTTAAACCCGTAGACTGGTAATGAAGGCACATTTAAAAGATGACTTTCAAAGAATGTTTTGAATAAGATAAAATGATTAATAAAGTGAAAAAGTAGTGACTAGTGGTTGTTACATATGTAACTCGTGAACAAGTTTAACGGTTTCAAATACGTGTGTTTGAAAGTGGTTCTGCAGTACTTTGAACCAAAAGGGAAGAAGTGTGTTGGGTAAAAGCAAACTCTGCTTTCTGCTTCTTAACTTGCTCACCTTTTAAGCCGGAGCTTTGAGACTTCTGGACACCAGAGCAAAAAAAGGCTTCAAAGGATCGGTAGATGGGAAATACATTGTAAAGGCTTGTTGGTGTATGGTAAAGACCACTCTTGAGGTTGAACCATAACATCACTGTTTCTGGAAGTTAGAAACAGTTGAATAGCTTGGCAGCACCTTGTAGCCCAGTGGTGTTAATGAGAGCACTCCTATGTTTCTTTTTCTAAACAGAAGTCCGCAAATTGATACTTTGTTTAGGTAAGAAAACAGTGAAAAGGAGCAGTAAAGCAATATTCCATTAATTTCTGAACAAGTAGATTAAATATTATCAAAAGTCTTCTTAAACTTGCTTTTGTTCTTACGGAAAAAACCCTTCTGAATCCCATGTTTTAAGTCGAAATAAAAATAAAGCAAGAATTTAAAAAATTTTGCGTGGTAAACTGATCTATCAAGTTCTCCATAATTGTTTGCTGTGTTCTTAGATGTGCTTCGTGTATTCTTTAGAAAGTTTTAGACTTTACAGTGGTAGTGGCTGCTAAATCACATCTAAAAATGTGAATACCAATTCCTCGGTAAAAATCGTAACTTCCCATTTACATTATGAATTATAGGGAAATGAGAATCAGCTGATGACATTTTGACTTAGGGCGGTTTTCACAGGACTGCAACTTGCCATAAGTTTAAGCACTGCTTATGTAAGAGTTCTGAAATTTGGTATTCTATCTGCATCAGAGTCATACTCACTGGGGCCTGGGAACCTGCATTTTACAAATGCCCCAGGTGATTCTTTTGGCTTAATAAAGTTTGAAAGCCACTGGTCTATATTAGTTGTAGGACAGCTAGTGTCAAGAAAGTTGATTGATAGCAGGTATGTAGCATATTTACAATATCTTGAAGGAAAAATTATGCTGAATATTCAAGATAAAGTAGAAAGGATGGAATGTACACCTGCTGAGCTTTGGGCCATGAGAACCTATCCTAAAGAGGGGCTGCCACTAAATGTATGTATTTGTGTTTGTGGGTGAGGTGGAATAATGAGGCAGCAGAAATAAATGAGGCGTTTTTATGTCATAAAGGATGCCACGAGGTATTTATTTGAAATTATATCCAGAAATATGATGTGGAAGAGAGTTTGAGAATGTTGTAGTTCTGTGCACTCAGGACAGAGCTCAGACAGAACCCAGAATCTCACCTGTAATGAATACCCGCAGTGGCTTTAGACCTGGACACTTGCCACTTACTCCAAAAGCTTTTTCTTGGTTCTGATCTCCGATTATACTTAAATATGGCCAGTTTTGCAATTGATCCTAATTCCGAATCACCTAGTACAGTAATTTCTTCTCTGGGTTGTTTTGGTGATTCATCATATTTATCCCCACAGCCTGCACATGATACTTCTTGAGAATTAGTCATTCAATATCTAAGAAATCTGATATCAATTACTTAAGGTTATAACTTTTTCTTGAAAGATCTAAAGTAATACTGAAAAAACTGAAATCTGTATACTGCTGCTTTCCCCGTAATAGAGCACTGAATTGGATTAGGAGATTTGCAGAAAAGGAACATCATGGCAAAGAAATGATTTGTGCAGAGACATTCAAGGGACTGGTTTGTGAAGACTTCCAAAAAGGAAAAATAAAACTTGCTCCTGGCCTGTCTCATTATCTAAAGACAGTCAAGTCCAAAAACACCTTATGAAAGTTTTTGTGTTTTGATAAGTATGTGGTTTAGTAACACTGTTTTTCAGTAATGACTTTTAACGTTTGTTCTCTGCATATTGTTCAATGTTGACTGGACTGTAGTCTCTATCTCCAGTGGGGAAAACACTTAAATTGTTTTAGTTGTAAATATTTTTTACTGTTGTCAACACTAGAAGATACTGTACTGTCTGTTAAGTTTCCCTCCTCCTCCAAAATTACATAAATTCTCAAATTCATTTCTGTCACCTGTAAAATCTGTTGCTTGTGGAGAAGGGATTATTACATTGTGATATTCAGCCTCAAATATTTGATGGACATCTCTGTTTTAAATAACCATCCCTCGGACTCACCAAAACGCAATAAAAATATATTTATTGTAGGGTTTTTATTAACCGTTGTAACTTTTTGTTTTTCTCAAATTTATCTCTTAAAAAGTTCACCCTACACAAATTTCTCTGGTCCTCACCATTCTTGCCTTTTTATGAAGTAGACTTCCATATTCAACAAATATTTCTTAGGGAATAAAATAATTTTTTTCTCTTTTGAGATGACATGAAAATTGAGTGTATTTGACATGTACTGTAAGTAACGACGAACTTGATTCAGTATGCTCCCTTTAATCAGTGTTTGCCCCAAGGGCATTAATCTGATTGCCCTAAGAACTCATCTAGCAACCATATGCAGATAAATACTTAGTGGTACATGCTAAGTTGCATATAGTTGAACCTGATATAGTGTTAATTTTAGAGGCACTAAGCTGGTTTGGACCTTTTTAATCCCCTCGTCCTGCTCCTTTTGCGTCACCGTAGACTCCTGTCGTTATTTGCAGTTTTGGCTCCTCCCCCCATGAAGAAATAGTTTCTGACAATTCTTTTTGAACTTTCTGACACCTGTTTCTCATGGTTTTCTAAAGAAGCTGTCTTTTTATCTTGCTTCAGTTGTATATTTGCTTTAGGGAAAGAATTCTTGATACTAGATACACCTATTGCATGTTTAAGAGCTCGGTAACGCCTCCATTTATAATGTACTTGACTGTTGGAAGCTATGAAACATTGTTTGCATCTTATAATTGAAAGACTAACTGGGAATTGCAAAAGCAAAATGTCCGTATTACTAAAATGAGTAATTTTCTATATAGTGATTCTGAATATTATTTTTTAAAAATTCATTTAAAAAATGTTGCATACTGTCTCCATTGATAAGAAAGGTGATGTATAAGGAAGAAATATAAAATCGGTATTAGCATTCTCTAGAGGGACAGAACTAGTAGGAGAGATATATATATACATGAAAAGGAGTTTATTAGGGAGAATTGACCCAGGACATCACATGGTACAGTCCTGCAGTAGGTCATCTGCAAGTTGAGGAGCAGGGAAGCCAGTGGTGGATCAGTGCAAGTCCCAGAACCTCAGTGCAGCCTTCAGTCTGTGGCCAAAGGCCGGAGACCCCCTGGCAAACCGCTGGTGTTAGGTCCAAAAGTCCAAAACCTGAAGAACTTGGAATCTGATGTTCGAGGGCAGGAAGCATCCAGCACGAGAGATAGATGGAGGCTGGAAGACACAGCAAGTCTAGTCTTTGTGTGTTCTTCTGCCTGCTTTATTCTAGCCACGATGTCAGCTGATTAGATAGTGCCCCCCCCCCCCCCCCCCCCAGATTGAGGGTGGGTCTGCTTCCCCCAGTTCACTGATTCAAATGTTAATCTCCTTTGGCAACACCCTCACAATTCTATCCTGGAACAACACTTTCCGTCCTCCAATCAAGTTGACACTCTGTATTAACCAGGATGATGTATAAGAAGGCTGACACATGTAGGCTTGAAGAGTTTGGTTTGTGAAAGATCTAATTATCTGTCCCGCACTCCATCTC